TGAAGCGCAGAACCGAACCTGGGACTTAGAAGACCACAAACTATATCAGCCACGACCTCGAAGGCAGTGAAATTGTAGTAGAAGGCCGTGAGAACCAGGCCACCAGCAACATTTACAACCTCATGCGGGGCACCCCGTCCCCACCCAAATATCGCCATGCCAGCCGCTAAGCGAAACGTCGCCGACTCCAAGCTGAAGACAAGAAAAATGAAGGCCAGTCGCGCGAATGCTTGGTCCTGCTCATGAAGGCGACAGCGGCGACAGCCCTTTGGCCCTCAGCCCTCCGGCTTATCCCGCCTTGGAGTCGATGGAACTCTCCCACGTTTGCGTCCAATTCTGCACCGCCTCGCTGGCAGCGTGCAAGCTTTCCACCAAGCCGCCATCGCTCCGTGGACCTACCGTCCGGGAAAGGGAGGAAAAGGCCCCTTACAAGTATCGGCTAGTGGCCATCGGCGTCCAGCAACACCACAGCCGAGCTTTGATTCCTGCTGTACAGCTCTGGACTGCCTTCGAGTCGCAAGACGAATACAGGGCTCTGTAATGCCCGCACAACGGTCAGTCGCCTAAGGCCCGCCCTCCTCCCTTTTGGTGCTGGGCTGTTGGGCACATTCGACTTCTTGCTACGTCAAAGCTAGAAACGGGTGAGGCGAGCAGCCGCGGTCTCGCCTGGGGCTTCTGACTCTCTAAAAGTTGCACTCTGAATTTTGTCAACTTCCCTCTTGAAAGTTGTTGCACTGGGCTGCTGTGGCGCCAGCACAAAGATCCTTCGAAAGCAACTGCTCTTCGCAGACATAGCAACAGCGGAAGCTCATTGTCACTCCTGGTGTAATCATCGGATCAGGGCCTCGCAGCCATTTCCAGCGCAGCACTCGGAGGGCTAACTCACTGGTACATGTGCCCCGTTCCCTGCGCAAGTAGGGCTGGTGCTGGTGGTTCAATGCTGCCAGCTCTGCCACCTGGGAAGTGACGGCAATCGCGCAATCCCTTTCGAACCTGGCTTACAGCACGCAAGGAAACTTTGCCTTGGCGAGACAATCCATTACCTGAGTGTCAGTTCACTGTTCCTGGACTGTTCCTACTGGAGGCTACGCTCGCAAAATTTGATCAGAAAGCCAAATTGCATTCAAGTCCTCGAGCTGATCGAAGACGGAGCCCTGCTTTCCATCGCCCTGAAGCCGACATATCCGACGGCAAAAGCAAGCCAGACGTCTGAGAACGTGCGCTGCTCCGCTGCTCAGACCCGGACAATCTGGATCTGCGGATCCACAGACCAGTCCTGGATCTGGGCTTCAGCCATGAGCTTCAGCATCTCGGCCTCGGTCCGTTAACTCGCGAGTGCACAGGGGTAAGCCGGGGAAGCGAATGCGGCAGAAGTGAAAAGCCTACGCAAGCACTTGCTCTCTGAGCCTCTGGCACCAAAGGTGTCATCTTGCACCGACTGACTCAGCCAGTTGTTTCGCTCGGCGAACCCCTCGAAAGGAGAAGCTGAGGCGTGCATGCCGTTGTCGCCTACGTTGGGCTTCTCTTTTAGGCCCAGCTCCTCCCACTTCGACAGTATCTGACCCCGCAGAGACTCTGCTGGTGCCTCTGCTGGGTCCGTATTGCCTAGTACCTTGCCACGGAAATCGGCCCAGGACAGGGCATTCGCGTCCCACTCAACTGAGAAGTAATGAATCGAGGACCCTGGCTTTGTGAATTTGGATCGCATTGCCATGAAGAAACCATTGAAGATGTAAACCGGCTCTTTGCCCTCAACCTCGACGAGCCCGCAGTAAAAGCCGCCACCAAACTTGATCAGCTTTTTTGCAGCTTTTGCCTGCGACCAAGCAGCATCCATCTCGCCTGCATCGATACCCAGGTGCTGGCAACCATCCATTGCATTGAACACCTTGCCCGACTTCAGCGCCTCTTCCCATGACACGCCAAACTGTTCCTGGAACTTGTCGGCGGGTACATTGAGCTGATGGGGCTTTAGAATCGTGGCCTTCGATGCGATGGCATAGTAGTGCTGGTCGATGAGCTTCTTCTGGTCGATGGTTTCAGCTTTGAGAGATCCTTCCTTCAGAATCTTGATGCCGTGCTTCTGCAGCCCGGTCTTAGCCATCTCCTTGACATTCTCGGTCATTGCATGTGGCTTGATGAAAACGAACGCCGCGTTCATCAAGTTTCGATCCTTCAGCTCCAGCAACTTCTCCAAACAGGCTGCTGTGTCCAGATCTTCAAGCTGATCGAATACTGAGCCCTGCTTCCCGGGCGCAATGTTGACCTGTGGATCCACCGACCAAGCTTGGATCAGAGACTCTGAGAAACCCCGCTGCAGCAACCGTGCGCCGAATGGATCATCTTTGATGGGAATCTCAAGCCAGTTGTTTCGCTCGGCGAACCCCTCGAAAGGAGAAGCTGAGGCGTGCATGCCGTTGTCGCCTACGTTGGGCTTCTCTTTTAGGCCCAGCTCCTCCCACTTCGACAGTATCTGACCCCGCAAAGACTCTGCGGGTGCCTCTGCTGGGTCCGTACCGCCTAGCACCTTGCCACGGAAATCGGCCCAGGACAGGGCATTCGCGTCCCACTCGACCAGATAATAGTAGACCTCTGCACTCGGTGCCGTAAATTTCGAGCGCATTGCCATGAAGAAACCATTGAAGATGTAAACTGGCTCTTTGCCCTCAACCTCGACGAGCCCGCAGTAGAAGCCGCCACCAAACTTGATCAGCTTTTTTGCAGCTTTTGCCTGCGACCAAGCGATATTTAGTTGTTGCGCGTCGATTCCCAGGTGCTGGCAACCATCCATTGCATTGAACACCTTGCCCGACTTCAGCGCCTCCTCCCATGACACGCCAAACTGTTCCTGGAACTTGTCGGCGGGTACATTGAGCTGATCAGGCTTCTGCATCCTCCATCATTAGTTGATGCTATCTGCAGAGTACCAACAGGCGCCCCATCCACTGACAAACCCTTAAACCCGACTTCCAGCCATGCATACCAAGTTTCGTAGCTTTGGATGCGATGGCAAAGTAGTGCTGATCAATTAACTTCTTCTGATCGATTTTGTCCTTATCGAAACAAGAGAGGTCCCACATCGGAGGGATGGTCGAACACATGTCGTCAACAAAGACACAAGGATACTGCCCGGACGTATGCCAGAGACAGGAAACTGGCGACACGCGTCCGCCACTAGACAACTAAACACAGAAACACACATGCCAGTCTATAAGGGGACCCAGTAGAGAGAGGTCCCAAGCGTCCATGTCGCTGCGTCAGGGGTGTGCAATGACATCCAAGACGCACCAGGGCGGAGGTTAAACAGAAGATGCGGAAGCGAGGATGTGAATGGGTCGCGGCACCATCAATGAAGACATGCAAAGTCATGCAACCGTCTCTCTCTCGTCCGAAACTGTCCAAGCTTCTCCTCTCAGGCTGCCTTCCTTCAGGACTCTGATACCATGTTTCTGAAGACCAGCTTTGGCCAGTGCCTCGGAGTAGCCATTAGCCAGCCATTCTGCACATGCTGCACATCCACAAGATTTCGCAAATACACCTGCCGGCGAACCGTCGCACGCGTCGCGCGCGACGCAGCGCAATCCGGCCTTCACTTTTTTTGTCACCTCCAGGCACAGAAGCGGGAGCCACGAAACACGCCTCATCTAGCAGAAGGCAGCATGTCAGCCAAGGCGCAGCATGAGGCTTGATGAACACGAAGGCCGAATTTGTTGTCAAACTCTTCTCCTCCGCACCGTTGGGTCGTCAAAACAGCTTACTTGTCCAGCACTTGGATTCGTGTAACACACCACCTTGAATCGACACCCCGCTGAAACATCTACCTTGAAACGTAAAGTCCCTCTGCAGCCTCTAACGGAGCATCCGTCCACAGACACGTCGGAGCAAAACTCTTCTGAGCTGTTTCTCTGGGGTTTCTCCATCTGCAAAGCTCTTACGACTTAACTCTCTCGGACAGCATCCCCAGAAAGCCAAATGCAATTAGCGCTCTGGCCTTGGACTTGGATGCGGAGGATGCCGACGATGAGGACTTATTTCCCATGGCTTCGTTGCCACCCAAGTCGCCCAAGCAGGTTTTCACACCGTTGCACAAAGTTGTGGGCGCATGACCGCTGAGTACTGCAGTGATGCACAATGATGCACAGCTGAAGCTGGAGGGTGCTGGAGATCGTCAGGTTTGATGCTAACAGGCCATTGACGCTGTGCAAAAAGCTCCAAGCTCAAATGCACGAGAAATTAAGTCTTACACTGCTCTGCCGTCCACGCCTTCAATCACACTGGGGCGATCGTCCAGCCTTACAAACTTCCCGACACCTTCGGCGCAGCTTGTACTTCCAGTACACTCTTCCAGTAAACTGCATTGCACCGGACGTGGCAGCAGGCCCACTGAATTATCTCAATTGCCTTCTTGCAACTCACGAAGGGCCGCCGCCTGACCTCGGGCTGAGACTGACAGACGCAGCTTTGTCCGTATCATGCCTCGCCCACAGACGCCGACCATCGTTCTGTGATCGCAGATCCTCAGCATGTTGACAGTTATCTATTCTTTGCCAGGCTGCACGCTGTTGCAGCCGGTCCTCCAGCTGCTGCTTAATCACTTCGAGTGCTTCTCCCTTGGAGGTTGATCGAGTTTGCTGCAAGCAGATGTCATGAAACTCCAGTCGCATAACCTGAACCTTCAAACAGTCGTGCCTCGACAGCTTGTACAGGGGACGTTGCTTCCATCGCATCATGAAGGCGGAAGTGAATTTAATAGCAGCACGTACGTCAGCTTTGAGATGCGTTCCTTGCTAGGCCATGAAACCCATAACAAGCCAACGGATGCTCGCTGAGATCTCCGCTTTGTCGGAGGGCGCCGTGGTGTCGGCTTTCGGTATGGCGGAAGTCAGCAACTACCGAAATGGGTCTAAGGCTGAAGCTTTCAAGCACCTGCCTACTAAGTACTTTCCTTTTTTGTTTCCTTTCTCTTCTCTTGCACTGCTCCTTTTTGTTCTCGCTTCCGATCATCTCAGCTTTGGCAACTCGGCAACGCTGCCCACGGCAATGGTGCCTTGGCGGTGCCAGCACACGACACTCTCACGAGTGTCTATGAGTGTCTAACTAACTGTAGAGAACAAAAGACTTTCCTGGGGGACTCAGCACGCACTCAGATATACGTAAAGCACTACAGTCAAAGCACTGGTTACTCGTGGTTGCTCCATGCCTCAAACCCCCCCCCCCCCCGTTGTCGCCCAGGTGGCATCGGCTTTGGATGCTGAGATCTAGCCTCCAACAGCCTCTTTTGATGACTTATGACTGATCTACCCCACGGATCCTCTTCCCCCTGCCTCCATCCGCGCGCAGGGAGAGCTGTCCGAGCAAGCCCTCGCCGGCTTCGAGCGGCACCTGGTGCAATCCGGAAGATGGGACAACAGATGCACCTCTCACACTGTTTGGCGATGAAGCTCCAAATAATCCACTCTGCCGGCAGGGGCGCTTCCCTGCCGGAGCAAATCTGCAGCACGCAAAGAGCCAGCGCAGGCGCGCGAACCACTTTCGGGGCGGCCTGGCAGGCACTGGGCAGTTGTCACGGAATGGAACGACGGAGGCTACGCTGGTGCTTCACTCCCGCACTCCTCCTTCTTGCTCGTCCGAAGGTCCTCTGCCTGCTGATACTACAGATGCTTCGGCATGTGTTGCATGGGGACTAAGCTCAACACGGTTGCGAAGTGGCCTCAATGACCTTCGACACCTCACACCTTCCCAAGTTCCCGGGACGTTTAGCTGACACCGCGACTCAGCTGAGGCGCGCACAGCTCCTCCATGGAATGGTGGAGATGCAAGATGCACCTGTTATGGCTCCCCACGACACCATTTCGAAAGACCTGCACAAAATTGCAGCCAAGACGCTTAAAGCCCTGACTCATCACCGGCGTCTCGCGGCAAGTCTCGACCAGGCGAATCTGGCAGTCTTTCTGTTGGGCTTTCGAGACGAGTCGAAGCGACCTAGAGCAACCTAACCCTAAGGATTGATTGAGCCTGAGCTTTGAATTTGGCCGCGCATCGGAGTGAATCCTGCAAAAGAGGCAGAAGCCGGATTCAGCCGGATAAGACTACATTTAGACGTGGAGTATGCGGAAGGCACGTCCTCGCTGAGAACGTGTCCCGAAGTGGGCAAAGCACCCAACACTTTGAATCGGGCCAAATCCCCTGGCTCCGCGCGTCGGACGTCCTTACGGAAGACGGCACAGAAGTCTTGGATTTGGGGGGTCAAACTTAGATGAGTCTCCGCATGGCACTGTGCGGTATCATCAGGTGTGATGCTCAAAGTCAAGAGGGCTCGTGCTGGTTCTTGTTACAGTGCAATCACTGTACAAGAAACGATTGGATAAGAAACGTAGGGGCTACGTCAGCCGGACAGCACCAAAAAAACGAAATCTTAAACTGCCTTCTAGCTAAGAAATGAAGGGTGCCCAACGTTTCGGGATCATTTCTTATTTTGGGGTTTTCCAGGTCCTAACCCTGGGGCATGGGGCAGAGGCCAGAATAAGAAACGTAGGGGGCTACGTTTCTTATTTTGGGTGGTTTCCAAGCTTTAAGCCTAGAGCACAGGGCAGGAGCCAAAATAAGAAACGTAGGGGGCTACGTTTCATATTTTGGGTGGTTTCCAAGCTTTAAGCCTAGAGCACATGGCAGGAGCCAAAATAAGAAACGTAGGGGGCTACGTTTCTTATTTTGGGTG